AGCTACTAAATCACACTTGGGAGGATATTGACAGCTCACTTCATACTGAAGTTAGTGGTGATGATGTCGTCTAGAAAGATGATGAAGGCTCCACGATGAGACACCTTAGCATAGAGAACACAATACAACCAAGACCTTTCATTTTACGAACCAACCACTTATTTCTTAGTACATGATATGATGACAGGGGTTTTTGGCAGCTGAAACATTGCTTGTCTAGGGAGAATGTCAACATCAGTAGGGTAGTTTGATCATAGCTTACAGGTCAGTAGTTTAATTTATGAACTACCGGTCTATTCAAGCCGAAATCGACTCATTTGAACTATTTGTTGTTGTAAGCTGAAGTCATAGAACTGCATCACCAATAATTTTTCGACTCTTCACTGCCTAAACTGCTTCACTGTACCCAGAGGAATCCACAGCCCAGTGTTAGTTGCAGTAAATACTTGCAATAAATATGTATACGTTGACAGTTTGATATAGTGCTTCACAAGATACCTCCTGGTCGCTTTCATCTAGCCAAACTTCAATCATTTCGCAGAGTAATCAGGAAAAAAGCCGAATAACATGACTTTCTCACCAATATCTTTTACTGGTATCAATAAAAACAAAATATATATGGGCCATTTCCTAAAAATTACCCCGAAGCAAATTTGAAACTTCCTCTTCCTTTTTGTCTTTATACATCATGTCATACAGCTTAGCATTCAAATTTTTACCCAAAAATAAATCCTTCCATACCAACGTTTGCATATGGGTATTTTAATAGGATTGAATTGTAGACAATTAAGCAGTGTGCCCTGGGCGAACTTCGAACAACTATTACACAACAACTTTTTCTGCCTAAATTCAGAGAATCTTTTGGTTATGAGAACTTCAGCGAAATAGTATGTCATGTTGGATTGACGGTTTTTGACTGATTTCCATCAGCTGAACAAAATTTAGGAAATCAGTAGAAATATTTTCGTTGTTTCACTTGATCTATGTGTTTTATTATTAGTTGGAACGTGTCTGTGAGAAGTAAATGTAGTAAATGTGGTCATTTTCTGCAGCGAAGTCATACTCACGTGAAAGATATCCAACCGGTCGGAATTAAAAGGTTAACACTCTTTAGTAAGAAAACGTATTGAGTAGAACTATTTAGGGAACGGAAAGTCAGTCTAATGTGACAGAAATCTGCAGACATACTACTAAAATGAGACACGGGGAAGAGAAATACTTATTTACAAGAAATCGAGAAGGATTTTAATCAAATAAGTTGGACTGAATCAGAGATATAGAATTAAGCTGAAGAAGAAACTGTAGGTCAAAATCAAAAGGTTGTGACAGTAAAGCCATGGTAGCAAAAGGGGATGAATAAAATGCATAAGTAACTGGAGCTCAGGATCCTCTTTATGAATAACTAGAGCTTCTGTTTTACAGAGGAGACGTAATCGAAACCTCTTTAAACCCCTTATTTGTCATGACGAATGACTTTTTGTGCAGATGCTGTGTCATCCTTCAGAATAATATGTTTCAAAATAGAACTGTTTATGTGTCTTACTTCAATAATCACATCGGTATATGCTTGTGAACACTTCTTGATGGTGTGCTGTCGGTACATATGAATGTTGCCAACAACGTGTCCTTACACTTGACATTTTGACAAACTTCGGTTTCTCTCTATATATATCGCCTTTTGAATCTGAGATTCATACACTGATGTTTTTTTAGAGTACTGCTGAATTATGTGGGACATCAGGTTTCTTTTTCATATATTTCCAATAAATGCCGTTGGGTATCCATTCTGAATCAGAGTTGTCTTCAAGAATTTCAGTTCTGTGGCTAATATATTTTCTGAGCATACATGATAAACTCTAGTTATACAAAAAGTAGTCAGATTCCATTTCTGCTCACGGGGATAAAAGTGTTAAAATGAGGCAACTATCCTCTTTATTTGGATCTATCTTTTAACTACTAGGTAGCTGACGAGACGTTACGAAAGGAGCCGTCTTCGATTATCATTATTTTTTTAATTCAAATGTTTACTCATAGCTTTCCAAATAGGTACATTCACTCGAAGGCAATTATAGGCAAGATAGAAAAAACACTGATGGAACCTACATACAGGTTAAGTGAATTCAAAAGATCTGACTATTAGATGCAGATGAGTCATTTGGCTTAGAAGTCATCACCTCTAGAACAGATTATTCTCCAGTCGTATACGCGTTCTACTTAAAAGTACCAACCAGTAGTATAGTTGTGAAAAAATGATAGTTTCGGTGAAGTTTGGCTGATGAAGCTGAAAAAATTGTGGTTTTTATTTCCAAAATACCCTGAACTTCACATACTGATAACATTTTATTTCAGATTGAAATATTCGCCATACACCTGTCAACACATATTCCCGATTCTCGATATTTAAAGATTTGTAAACCTAGTTCACTTATTTTAATTCCTGAAAATTTTCCCTTTATTTATACAGGTTGGCATAAAAACCTAATCCATCCATCGCCTTATGCATCGAATTATCTGGATGTCTAAATGTTAGACGAAAAATTAAAACGTGTTAAAATATACAAGTTAACACCTTTCCACCAAATGTAATTCGTAAATATTTTTTCTAAATAGACAATATTTCATAGGAAAATGATTCAGTTTTACAGCAAGAGTTGGTCAGTTTTATTTAAAATTTGGTTTTCATAAATTTTATTTCTTTCTTTAAAAATGAACTTGTATGACTCAGCTTTAGTAAATCCCATTCACATATCGATGAGAAATTAAGCTTATCTTAACTACGAAGAGGGGTTCATCACTTGTACTTTATCAGGAAAGCTTGAAGCCTTTTGAGTGAAGCTAAATAAGACAGTAGTAACGCGCACATGAAATTTTTTAAGCCCGAGACACTCAGATTCTGTTGAACATCTACTGAGTTATCATCTGAATATTTTTGCACAGTTTCATTTGAGAAAAAGGGGTTTAACTTTCTTTCTTGTTTTTATGAAAGGAAATCTTGACAGCTTTTCTTCTAAACTCCTTGAGTGCATTAACTGTATTAGTGTTCAATCAGTCAGATGGCTTCCCGGGGAGTGATCCCTGACTTTATAAATTTCGTAATCGGTTAGCTTTTATGTTATCGCTACGTGATTAAGAAATGTGTTTGATGAATGTTTGCTGGTCATAGTATTTTAATTTTCTGAAGGTTTGAAATGATCATACCTAAATAAACGTAAGATTAAGTCCTTACCATATAAAAAGAAATAATAGTATGGAAAAGCACAGCTATTCACGGCGCCATCAGTATCGCCGTAATCTGGATTTCATTTTCTGTATTTAAATGGAATAGATGCTAAGTTAATTTACTACTATCAGGTGGTTGGGGATCAATTTGAAGGGGTCACATCATCTCAATCTGCTTATCGTACACTTGAAATTGATATAAGATACTTATGCTAATCGGTAGCATATACCGTAGCTACTCATTGTTGTAGAAGGTTTTCAACGATATCACCACAGAACTAAGATTAACGTTGTATCTACCAAAAGTTTAAAATTTGAGTACAATACAGTTAAGTCAAACCCTATTTCGTTTAAATATATTACTTCGCAGTCATGCTTGAAACTTAATTTCACTGCATTACAGTGCTGAAAAACCTGAATGAAGGTAGTAAATGTCTGAGATATATTGGTTGTCTCCTCTAAGGTATTCATAAAAAATAGCTGTGCAGTATATCATCACATAACTGTACTGTCAGCCCACTAGTGCATGAACTACTCTTTGCGAATGCTACTAACTTGTGTTACCTTTCACTTTAAACGTCACACTTCTAAATAAATATCTCTGCCTTGTTCACTTTCGGTAGACACGCTTTTATCGAAAGTGATTCCTGAAAATTAAGGCGGAAAGTTTACAAAAGCTTTCGAATCACAAAGTGAGGATCGAGGAATAACCATTGAAAAGAAGAAAACAGTTGTTCACTGTCAGTTTGTGACTCATCAGTACTGTACACTCGTATATCCTTGTGTGATTAAGCAAAAGATGGTTAATCCTTCTAAAAAGATCAACCGTCTGTTCATCAGAACGATAATTTAAAACCAGTTATTGAATTTCACCAATGAATATCAAATTTCATTTTCAATTCATCTGATTATAGAAGTTAGAACTTCCTTTTAGACTTGTAGAAGTTCAGTTTGAAGGAAATCGCTAGTGATTCGTGATGAACTGTTATGCGGTTAAGTTTTCCTAAAGTTAGACAAATCAGATTTCGGTTACTACATGCTTTTGAATCGTCCTTCAGCTGTCACCAATTTGTGACAAAAAAGGCTTTGAAATCCACTGATTTCTTCAAAACTATCTAAGCATGAGATTATTATTTTAGGTTAACATAGTGGCTTTTGTAATCTATCATTTACTGGTACTATCTTCAGTATTCTACGAGTCATACTACTGATTTAAGGATTAACTTTTCAATGCTCTTATTTTCTAATTGTTCAGAGTTTTAACAGAAGAAGACAATAAGTACATCATGATTTCAGGATCTATAAAGAAAAGTATCTCTTATCATTTAAGTTTCTAAATTCAGTATCAGATATTCCGGCTGCTGAATGTGAATCTTTCTGGATAAATTGATGATATACTTCTTCAAATAATGAATACATCAGTTGACTGCTTAAGCCATCTGAATGTGATGATTAAAGCCTCTAAAAACCAGCTAATCATCTGACTATATATATTGTAAAACAGTATGCTTCATATAACACCTGAATATAATGAAAACCACATTTATAATTATAAATATGTTTCAGCTAATCAACTTTCCATTTATGAAACTATAATAGTAATAATAGTAGTAGTTAATGTTGGTGAGGTAACGAATGTCAAGTCAAATTATATTTCAAAAATACAAGTCAGTTCACAATAGAACATAGACGATAAAAACTGCACACAAATGCTTACTTCCGTTACTAATGCACTAGGTAACTAGATGAGATCAAGTGTATGTACACTACTGCATGTAAGTATGCATATGTATATGCATATACATGTAAACTGTTTATCTTATGGTTTGTTACACAAAGACCATCTAATCTGTTGTATCAAAATGCTGTAAGTGCACAGAAAAAGTGATTTTCATTGATAGAGTTCAGGGCATAAATTATTAGGACTTTACTGATAAATGCAGTTTATAAAATCATCTTTGCATAATAATTTTCATAAGGAGATTAAACCTTTTAAAGAAGTTTATATGTGAAAATCTGTATGGAACATAACTTCACCTATCGTTTTGGTTGAATCTATATAAACATTCGATTACATGAGAGGTAACTTTAGGTGTTGACTAGTTTATTTTCAGTTTTATTGTTGGATCACAAAAATAAGTATGATAAATCTGTAAACCTTAGAAGTATACTTTCCCTTAAATCCAAATCAGAGTCACACAGTTATATACACGGGGGCCATATTATTTTAATTTCGTAGACTGATAAATCGCTTTGTACAAACGGAATAATCTATGAACAAATCATGAATGTTAACACGAAACATTTCAGCGAAGAAAACTTTCTTTGCCATGATCATAGTGAAAATTATTACTACCATGGCAGAATAAAAAAATAGGTGGTACCTGTTTTACTTGCATAGCTCAGGCTTTAACTGTTAGATTGCCAACGCCTCTGCTACACATGGGTAACGAATCTCCACTCCATTTGAACCTTTCGGCTTTACTTTGCGTAAAATTTTAAAGAGAGTCTATGGGAGAGCGATACAACCAGAACTGACCAAATGACCTAAGATCAATCTATTGCTTAACTAGTAAATAGGCGGTTCACTTCAGGTTCTTGTATGTCTCTCAGTCCAGTTACTCTTACAGGGCTGGTTATATGGACCACACAAAGTATAGTTTCCAACAGAATCTCCAAGCACTATAGTGCCTGGTTTTTCAAGAGAATGCCTCCCACCTGCTACTTTTCCGTTGTCATAATCTTACTTTGGTTTCAATCATCGCTTCAGTACTTACCTTACTCTTATTGACAGACTACTGTAATTGCTTTACTTTACTGCTTACTGTCATATACCTTTAAGTATTAATTTGAATTTCACATCTAAATGTCGTCGTATTCTACTCCTGTTATTAATCATAATCTTTTAAACTTGATCATTAAAAATAAAATTTTTTTTTTGCTGAACTACATAGTGTTAATTTTCGTATTCAGTGGGTTTCTTTGTGTGAAATAATGAGTATTAAAATTGTCACTTATCCGCATAAACAGCTAAAAAGTGTTTTAACGAGAATAGTTCATTCAAAAAGCCAAGTATTTTGAAATTGTAAGCTTTATAGGCATGGGCGAAATAGCAAAACACGCATGATTTATCAGTGACAAGGATTTCAAATGATCACATGAAACTTCCTATTTGATGGGAAAAACTTAGAATCTACGATCACACCTATGGTTAAATTCAGGGTGTACTATCAATATGTGGGCTTTAGCAGCAAACGCAAGTCAGGCGTTTATATTTTCATGAGCAAATAAAATCCACGATTCAGTCAGTCTATTTGAAATAATATTTTGGAAAGTCTAGTGTGTCTGTTACGATGAAGGATAAAAACAGTAGGACCCACCAAATCAATCAAATCACTCCATTAGAACAAATTACTATTTCCGTGAGCCATGCAGGTAAAAGAGTAACATAGCGGTTAAAAGATGAAAATAGTCGTACACTGAAACGGCTGATGAATTTACCTCAAACGAAGTAATACAGAATTGCCATAAAGCCAGGATTACTCATTGATATTCCCTAAAGTATAACTCAGGAAATGAAGGACAATCGACAAACCATCTCACAGTAAGGAAACAATAGTCAAGTTCTAGCAGGCTACATGATTTCAGTGAATCTTTTAAAAAGGCTTTGCCAAGAAACAGAGACTGTGACTTCTAATCTTAAGTAAGAAACTTCGCACATTTTTGTGGATTCATAGGCTTTAATCCGACCACAATATCATGAAACTAATCAGCACCACCTTCTTTTTCATCCACCCGGCTAAAAGAAACCAGTCAGGCAATTAACAATATTTCAGGAGCGTTCGTGAGCTGACACTTCACTTCTTATGGTACTCTAAGTGTTTGCATGCACTAATGCTCGTTATATTCTCGATACCTTAAGGTGGTGAGTTCAAAAAGTCCTAAGAACAGTGAAGATGGATAGTGCCTAGCAGTGGAATCGAGGATGTGCATTTCGTCCTATTTGGGAGTTGTCAGCTGGATGTACCTGCCTTCCAGTGATTGATGTCGTTCCCACCGGGATTCGGACTCGATTGCGGTCGCTTCAGATGCCAGAGCGTTATCCACTACACCACCGAGCCACGATAGCCACTTCTTGTGCGACAGGTATAGTTTTGGTGTTATCGCTTGCATTATACCGTCTTTAATTGGCATATGGGCTGCTATGTGGATACCTCGATGGGCATCCTGAATTCCACTGCTAGCCACTATCCGTCTTTACCATAACTAGAACTACACAGGTATATAGGTGCGTCCGCACAGGAGCCCATGTGCAGCTGTCACCAATTTGTGACAAAAAAGAAAAATGATAGTATCCCATTTCTTGATGTTCTGTTGGTAAGAAGGTCTGATGGAAACTTGAAGCGAAGTGTTTATAAAAAAACAACATCAACAGGTCAATATACGCACTTCTTTAGTGCTGTACCGCTCCAGTACAAAGGAACCTAGTGAAATGCTTAGCATACCGTGCCTCAGCTATTTGCTCAGAGGATACGATAAAGAAAGGGTGCGCCACCATCCGTGATCTGCTTAGTAGGAATGGCTATCCAGACAAGTTTGTAACTAAGCACATGAATATTACGAGGGTTAAGACAACAATGCCAACAGTTCCCAAGAAGCAAATCTTTTTGAAGCTGGAAGGGTGATATTGCCAGTGAGATCATAACACAACGCATAAAAAGAGTCTTGTATAAAGCATTCCCAGCCGCTAAATTATGTCCCACCTTCTACAACCGCCCGATCCTAGGTGCGAGAAATAAAGACAAACTGCCTGATTCTGCCACTTCTATGTGCATTTATCAATTCAACTGCTCCTGTGGAGATAGTTACAGTGGGCGTACAATGAGGCAGTTCCATCATCGAATTTCTGAGCACCACCCATCATGGTTGAACAAGAGACAAATTAGAACTATAAAGAGCTCCATACTTGCACACTTAGTTGAGACAGGATATCAAGTGGTTACTGGGAAAGCCTTCAAAATCATCCATCAGATTCCAAATAATTTACCTCATGGATTACGCACTTGGTTACTTCACATAGCAAAGGCGATTGCAATCCACCTTCAAAAAGTTAGCCTTTGTATCTAAAAGAAGTTTGTTCGACCACTTTCACTACCGTGGCCGTCAACATGATGTAACTTCCAGGTTTATTTTAAGCACCTCTTCCCTTTCTTGTTTCTATCAATATTCATATTTCCTATTTTAGTAACTCTATTGATTATTTACATCATTATTTCCGAAACATCACCACGTGATCGGTAATTTGATTAAATTGTAAACTTATATATTAGTGTAGAGCCCAAGATGAAGACCTTATTAGAAAGGAATATATTTCTTCGCTCAATCAGTCTTTTTCTAAATAGAGATCGACCAATTCGGTCCAATCAACGACGGTATAATACAAGCAATAGCACTAGTCCTACGAATCTTGGGAATTTGAAAACGCTGGAAAATATTGAAAATTTTAATACACTCTTTATTCTTCCTGGTTAATAAGCGCTGACTATATATATATATATATATATATATATATATAGGTGGTAGGAAAGATACATATGCGAAGGTGACAGTCTCACTCATGCTTTAAACGATTATATCATAAATATCATTCAGTGACTCAGCATCTTCCTTTTAATTAAGATAACTGCTTCTAGTCGGGTTGATGATAATTGATGGATGGATGCAAGTCATACTTTTTTTCGACAAATTCGTCAAAATGATCTGTCTGTCAAACGTTAGTTATCATGCTAACTTTGAAATATAATTATCTTATCAGTACCCCTTTTATTTTTGGCTTATTTTTCAAAGCAAAGGGATCTCACCGAATGATGCCGTATCTACAAGTCAACAGGCTCCACCGTCACCCCAGAATCCTCCCGGTTTCAGACAGCGACGTGGATCAATTTTTGTCACAGCACTGGCAGCTGAACAGCATGGAGCCCCAGGTTCATCCACAGATAGTCCGTAAGTCTACCTCTTGAAGCATGATCCAATTAGCTGAGTAAACCAATATAAAAAACTTTCCTAAGGCTAATAATTAGATTTAACGTTTGCAGACAAAATATTCATTTCAGATTAGGTTGGATAACTCCAATGTTAGACAAGTGTACTATTCGCTAGAGATAAAGTAGTTAACTAACTGAATTTGGCTTCGATAGCTATATTAACCTTACCTTTAAAACTTAAACAATTTCCGAAACGTGGATTACCTGGTAGCGTACTTCACCTACGAACCTTTTTATATTTAACATGTTTCTATAGCCACCATACAGAAAAGTAGAAGGTCGAAAAAAGTATGGAGGCTCACGGACTTTGAAGAATAGATCAAGGAGCAGATACGTCAGTTCATCATATATCGCCAGCTCTATAGGTAATTATTCTATATTTAAGTTATAGGGGAAACATAGGCATGTTCAATTCATCTGAAACTTCCAAACTAGTTGAAAATTGATAAAATTAATCCAATTCTATCTTATCTATTAACATAATAAATCACTATGGAACAAACTATGAAAATACTAAACATAAGAAAAATCGTCATTCCGTCTAGTTGGCATTTATTACCAAAAATTGTTGCTCACTTCAGAAGCCAAGCATACCAAGGCTGAGTATGAGACAAAAGTCAGATTTTTATGGTTTGACTCTTGAAGGCTGTTTCGAACAATAAGACTTCTTTCAGTTAACCTTGATACCGTTAAAATGAGAAATAGTTTTCAATCCATTCTTTGACTTTACAGCTGGTCGACGCACATTCATTTCCAGATTATAAGAGAACTTTACACAAAGGAGACGAAGATAGTGCATTTTCTTGGTGTTCATAGTTCAAAATTAGTCCTATTGTAGATTATCAGACGCTTCATATCACTATCCCTAAGGTCTAATATATCAGCTCAAACCTTATTTATTTATCTTGAGAAGATAGTTTATGCAAATCAGGATAGTTAACTTTTTAGGTCTAATATACCGGCTGTGTTGTGCGTATTGATGTGAGAAATGGAATGCGGTAATGATATCATCTAAATATGTGGGTTAACAGTTGAGTTGAAAATGGTCTATCAGTTGAAGAGGAAATCCTTTCTTAATTTGGCTTGCATCTCACCTGCTCAAGAATCATATGTAACAATAATCGCTTGTTGTAATAACTAGTTATAGTACCATAAAATGCCACCAAAGTGGAACATTTTGCAACTGTAAACGAACAAAGTACATCTTACATACCCTACATTGAAACCATAGTAATTATAACAGCAGTATTCGTAACGATCAGATGTTGAAATGAACCTTAAGATTCATCACTTTGGTAACATCAAGAGCTAAACGTATCAAGTATGTACTACATTATTTAACCTACAAATCTGAGGATGGTTTTTCAAGGAAACTATACTCAGTTCCTGTTTTTGACAGCCACAAATAAAATTGTAGTATCAATGATTTAATCTACAAGTATCAGTTAACAATGACCAAGTGTCTAGCAGTAAGAAGAAAAAATAATGATGCTAAAGATCTGCTCAAAACACTGAGCACAGCTCATCTAAATGTTAAGTTCACAATGTAACAGGAAGTAAGGGGCACCTAACGCTTTCTGGATCCAGGTATCATTAAAGAAATAATACAATAAACTTTATATACACCAGTCGTGAGTAAACATTGGACCAAGAATATCTCAACCTCCATAATCTTCTCTTCATAAACTTAAAAAAGGAGTAATCAGGACATTAGACCAGATGCCAAAAACTCTTGTCATCAGACAAATTGAAAAGAGACTTTACTTCGACCAACTAATACCTTTAGGAAGTTTATTCATATACGTAAGATTGGAACTTCCTACATATATCAAGTAGTGAAACCAGAGTAGAAATAGGTGCTTCTTTGGCTAGTGTTCAGAGAAGAACAAACAATGAAAAAGTCTTATGAACCACTGGAATTCACACTCAAGCAAACATTCCCTGTGGCGAAACCAATTCCATTTTATAATGTGAAGTATTCAGCAGCGCATGCAAAAGTAGATAAATATCCAAGTCATTCCAGCTCTAAATGCAGGCTGTTGTTCAGCATTACCAAATTAGCAAAACAAACTCATCCAGTAGATATGAACATTAGATGTGTACAATGAAAATGGCTATTTTTTATCCATCAAAATAATCCAAATCACTTGAGCTGTGTGGTAAAGAATTACTTATCTTAGTGATTCACGATATCATTTGGCAGTTAACATCACTACCCAGTACATGTATGCAATCACAATTCTGTTATTTTTTTATTCGCATTACGAAAAACTAATCAATTAGTCAACGCAAAGGCTTATGCAAAAAAAAATGTGCTGTTTCATCTTTTTGGTGTACAATTCATTGTTATGAAATATTGCTAAGTTACGAAAGCACTATGCAAATAGTCAGGTGTGTTCATCTTTCTATCAATATTCTCTAAATAATGTGCGAAGATGTACCTTTATAATCGTTCACATCTCTATCGAGTGCCTGAATACTTTTTTATGAGAAGTAACATTTGTTAATTACAGAAGTTAAGAAGGAATTCACCTTTTCAAAAAAGATTCAGAATTTTACTGATACATGTAGCAAAACACATTTCTTAGTACCAATTTTATGTTGTCTAGCCCTGAATGCTGACTGAATTCTATCCATTATTTAGCAATATAGTCACCAAGGTACGAGGTTCATCATCGCGATGTACTTTGATGGATGTTAGTTGGTTGGAGGCAATCGGCGAGAAGCCCTGTCTCTATGGCTTTTATAGCATCTAGCTGTTCCATAACACTCATTATGCGTTGACTTTAAAACATGCCATTCGACGGAAAGGATATACAAGATGAAGAAATATTTTGAAACCTACATTAGTAGGAACGCAAAACACGTTACCCAGGTAAACAAGAAAACTGTATAGGGAAAAAGGCTTCTTATCCAAGATTTTCTTTTTTTAAGCGGGAGAACAAAACATAATCAACCAAAGCCATAAGGCAGTGAAAGACACCTAGAAGAAGACAATACTTTTATGAGTAAATAAGCTTCACCTAATAAGTGTACAAATTCAGTTTGGAGGTTTGAGGAAGAAATTTATCAATTTCAAGTTGGTATTCATCACTGACTGACGTCAGTCAGAGTGTCATAAAAAACTGGAAGCACCGAACAGCTGTTTAACCTAATTACTGGATACCTCAGCAGTGCACTATGTTGTGAACTGACAGAGGTAGGAAACATGAACTATTGGATTCCAACCTAGTGGCTAGACGGCAACCTGCTCGCCGCAAGACTTGAAGGTATTGGGTTCCATCCATGGTAGGATCATGGTCGGACATTGATGAGGAATCCCATACTAGGCTGAAATAGCTGTTCAGTGTTTCCAGGTTTTCAACTGGTTCTCGAAAATGACTTCAGTCCATAATGAACACCAACTTGAAATGTACAAATATTGAATTAGGATCTAAAATTAATGAATGAATTTCTATAAATGGAACTGACAGTCAGTTGTATCGGAAAACTGGCTCCTTATTTTCTTGAAAAGGCCCACAATGTTAACCTCTAGTAACTAGCACAATATAATCTGTCCTTCATCAACTTAACAAACCGAAACTGTCTAGCCCCACAGCTAAACTGGAGCTGTCATATATTTTTGTCAAGATGGGTAATCAATGAAAATAAAAGATGTATGCAAAATGTGTTGATAATAATATATTTTGTTGAATGTCTTCATTTTGTCACCAGTGCCTTTGAAATTGTTTCATTTGTGTGTGTTGATTATTGCTAAAAGAAATATGTGTTAAATCAGCTAACCGTCAATGCATTCACTTTGAGCCTAGTAATCTTACCTCACTACTCAGGACTTACCTGATAGGCAGACAACTGAAATGACTAAAACGTGTACCAAAGCATCCGCCTTATACATTTGGTACAATAAACAGTTTTTAGTACAAGTAAACGACAACCTGTTTACCCAGAGATCGTAGATTTGTAAACTGATGATTATGTGAAATCATGCGTGAACATTCCCAAGGGATCTGATACTGTTTCTAAGTTAACGAATCCAGTAACTAAACTATTCAACAATAACATCATGTACAACTTGTAACCAGTTCTGAAAAACAATATATAACCACATTAATTATTACACTTTATGGAGGAATCTTGTGAGAAAAATGCGGATTTCAATCAAGACATATCTCTAACTAAGCCTCATTAAGTGAATTCAGTGTGTCAAAAGAAAGATGAACCATAATACTTGTAAATCTGAAGGTGATCATAGACGCTTACATGTAAAATGCGAAAGATGCTAGTAAAAATGTGGACAGGTCATGTGAGTCAGTAAAATTACATTTCCAATTACAGTGAACGTCTTAAGCCGGTGTTAACCTCTTGATAAATACGTCACTGATGAATTAAAGTAACAAATTCATCAGCGACAATGAAAGGCTCACCGCGATCTAATTGCATCCCAGAAGGTTGTAACAGATATGTTGTCAGAGTTCATGAGTTTAGTTGATCTCACCTCTCACAAACCAATGAGCTGTTTCTCTGAATATGTTTCATACGTAACTTGATACCAGACAGTGAACTCTAGTCATTATATACTAATCAATAAATGTTATTAACGAGTAAGTCATGAAAACTATTTTTATAAATTGAGTTACTTTCTTCCTTCAAATCACTGTGTCCATGCATTTACCAAGTTTGAGTGAGCAGGGATTTCTGGAGTGCTAATGTGTAATGAAATGGGCATTTATCAGTACATTGTGCAGGCAGATTTCGAAGGCTTTTTGTAATCTTTCCCGTCATCAATTTATCAGGCAGTCGAAGGACCACATGCAGCCGTTAAGTTTCCTACTGTTAAATTGTTCTTATTCTTCTCATTTGAAGAAAGTTGTAATGACAATCATTGATCGGTTGCATATGACTACATTACTGTTAAGTCATGTTTCTAATGCGTATTATGGGTTTTAGACAAGCCATTTCCGCTTACTAGGTCATCTAAACATTGAATTCAGAAATAAGTGTGTCTTGGTTGTTGAGATCATGAAGGTTTTCGTCAGTTGTAGGTGGAAGTTATGCTTTGAAATAAAGCAAAAAGAACATTAGTAGCAGAATTTGCATGCATGTATGTCGTAGAAACTATGCCAGATGACTAATCTATTCCTCCCTGTGAAGTACTTTAATAGGCCTTGAAAGTGATCGGAGGATAGACAGACGGGTAAATGTGATGAGTGGTAGTTGAAAATCGTCATTCCTGAAAAACGTTTATCAGAAATGGTTCTGCACTGATTGTGATCGTAAGATAGACAATCACTTAAGAAACGAATGAACCACTGAGTGGATATTAAATATGCCTGTCCTTAGTTAATCACCTCAATGAACGATATGCTGTGTCTTCTGTGTTTATTCCGTCGTTTGCTGTATCAACCGTCACTACTCCATTTTATTCTGAAACATACTAAGCACATCTTCACATGAATTTTGAAAACACACAAACACAAATATAACACTCCAAAGTACACACAGACGTACACACTGACACTGATAAAATTTTTGAATGGTTTCAAAAATCTGTAGTCCTGAAGCGTTTTTCTTATTTGAATTGATAACTATTGGCTTTATGTATTCAACAATTCTGCAAAATTAAACCAGATACACTACAGTTGACTGCAATGTGACATCTGAGGAAATATGTAGCACATGTGAATTACAACTTCATTTTCGGAGGTCAAAAATAAGAGAACAAAATGTATGATGTACTAATTCTATACTATATGACGTAATCCTTTCAAATTTGAGTTGCTTAATCTACTAATAAGAAGTCATGTGGAAGAAATGCTGTTTCATAAGCTGTGTTAAATGTAGTCACCATCATCACAATCAACGTCAAAGAATGCATCCACAATGAAGATATCTAGCAATCCTACAACAAATTCAGATTACATAACTCCTCTACTACTAGTGAATTCCTCCAATGTAAAACCTATCGAAAATAATCATTCAGTAAATTCAAAAAGTGATCCATTAGATTCTGAGTGGTGTACTGTAAATACTCCAGTTGATGTTACTAGTGCGAACACCATTGTTGATTACATGAGTGACAAGGTGAAAACATCGACAAACAATAACTCATCTATAGCAGACCTTAACGAATCCTCATCAGTTAAACCTGAAGTAACGCTGGAATCTTATAACCTGGCAGTACAGATAAGCAAACCTACTACTGATACTGTTATTCCTAATAATTCTACCAATATAGCACATGACAGTAATTCAGTGCAATACTCTCCAGTGAATACAACTGACTCAGCAGTAGTAAGAAGACCCTTGAAACCTATAGATTCGTTTGTGCATAGAAGAGAGCAAGAGGAGGAGGGAGTTAGGCCATTTAATCAGTTGTTTAGGCGATCTATTTCTAATACGCATTTCAATTCTATAAATCACTCACATCACTATAATCAACAGCATTATAATCATCATGTACCTCCTACGTTTTTCTTACCCCGAACACCCACTGATCCGGCCACACCAACATCAACAACGATCTGTATCCCTACAACGTCATTTGATCCAACTGGAATCCAATCGGTAAATAAAAAATATCCTGTACGTAGAGGATCTATGATAGTTAGACTTGGCAGATCAAGTACCGGTGGAACAATTGGTGGTACTAGTGGCAGTATATCAAGTACAAATGGATTAGCTGGAATTTTATCCGACTCTAATGCTTTGTCAGGAGCTCCTGTTGAAGGTGTCATTGTAACTCCATTTGCTCAAGTACTTGTTAGTATGCAACGAATACGGAGTGCATTTATACGATTAACAGCTGCCCAAGTGACAAACAGGTTAGTCGAGTTGAATAATTCTATGTTAAGTAATAACTCTTGGTCGATTTATTCGATATCTATTTCGTTTGCACTTGTAATCTAATTTTGTGGCTATTGTGATTAAATTGCTCTTGTAGAAAAGTAATTATACACTTGAACGTTGTTTGCCTCAGAAGCATTTTGTTTTTGTCACGTATTTTGTGGTATCAAGTCGCCTCTTATATAGTTAGTTCTCTCAATTGCATAAATCTGTTAGCGAAAGATCAAACCTAAGAGCAGTAAACTTACAGAATCTGTAAGTAATATCTAGATAATTGATATTTTAAGAAGAATGCCATTGACAAAGTAAACATCAACCTGCTTGTTATCCAGATACAGAATATGCTTCAGAAGACTATGCATAAAGGTACTTCAGAAACTGTTTCATCTCAGCATTGCTTGACTACATAGCAATAGTGATGGCCAACAAGAAGTAAGTGGGAATACAACAGCATGAGTCAGCACCATTTGTGTAGAAGAGATATACTGCTACTTTTTAGGTTTCCAATACAGGTCAGTAAACTGGTTTTTCTATAGTTTCAGAGTAATAATGGCCTTAGCTTGGTCTAAAAAAGATATGAAGAAACAAGATATATGAAAATTTTGGAGTTTGCAACTAGAAAAGACTCTTCCTATCATGTATATTATTCTCTCTCTCAAGAAAGCAAGCTTATATAATTTGGCCCAATGCATTCTGGGATGTCCCTGCAGTAACCACACCCTAATTTACAATGGAATGTACATTATACTGAGTCAGATCACCAACGTTCAGCCTACACGATGCTCGATAATTTCAGTGTTTGTGGAATACACTTATCAAAATCACCTGACTATCGAACTCATAATCTGACTCTCACATATACAACAACTAAATACTAGAATGATTTACGCAATCGAAAAATAGAGTTTTCTATCAAAACCACATATCACAAAGAAATTTTTCCGAAAGTTCAATGTTCTAGGTGCTCGAAATTCGTTAATGATGAGTGTTAAGGATGTTTGAGTGAAATATATCTCAGATGATTCACGTAGTAACAGATAACTGTAAAAGTGAGTGCACAATCGCTTAAAGGTGAAGTTAATGTTGGTTCCTGACAGAGACTTTGAAATCAGCCGACTACCTATCAGTCTTGCAGTTACATAACTATCGACTGTTCCTCAGTAGTTAACGCCGAGATGGATTTCTTGAGGTACCAATAGAAAGCTATGACCTATAGATCCAACTAAAGTGCACTCAATTACAGATATCACCCCATGTTACTAAATGACGGCCAAACCCTATAGTGAATAGAATGAAGCGAGTTACCAACTTAAGGGTTGATTAATAATGTGTTCATCATATGACCTAATGGTCCAAGTCCGAGCCCTATTGAGGTTGAGAATATGCACTATTAAGGAGTTGTAAACCGGGTAGAAGCAGCTGTTTAGTGTACAATGATTTTCATTATTTCTCTACTTTCCATTAATTCTTGATGCAAAATCTTAAATGAGTGACAACTGAATTAGTTTCTGTTTATGCTTTTTCTAGGAGTGATACACATCGAAATTAAATTATCATTACATTTTTATTCCAAAACGGGCCGGAAAATAAAGAATGTTAGTTTCGTATGTTGATTTATTGGCTTTTTAGAGGCTTTACTGAGCTACAATAAATAAACCCCTAGTTTTCTGTCAGATATCAGTGCTTGAGGAGTACATGAGTGAAACCGAATAGACTGAATAAATTTACCACTAGGTATACACATTCATCATACATGTACTGACTTATTTTAAATATTGAAGAGACATTGAACAAATGAATGATAGTCAACATTCATTCTTTGATTTGGAAGATTGTATTCATCAAGATCTTTATACCGAACAGTATTCACGCTGCAGTTACACAGACTTCAGATTGTCAGTCACTTATCTGGATATATATATATATATATATATATATATATATATATATATTGCTTCAAAAGAGATTTAGTGGGGTTACAATCTATAAAAAACTTTAGACACTTAATCGGTTATTGAAATACATTGATAAATTAGTGATGTTCGGAAGTTAACTTCACTGTATCGTGCGGGATTTGTGCTAAAGGGTTAAATACTAAATTTCAGTGGAGGCTTTGATATGAATCACTAACAAAGAATTGTACAAAATTAAACGATTTCACTTCACTAATCCAGTGACTTTTGAATTAGTAATTTTTTCAGTATATATGAACACAACTAGACCTTCATAGACGACGAATTAGGACCCAGCATGTAAAGGGCCATTTTCTTTGACAAACATGTATGCAGTCTTCATAACAGGTGAACATCAAGGTGATAAATCACTAAAAATAGGGGAATACCTAGGAATTGCATCACCGACACCCAATACTCCTCAGCAGAAGTAATCTCGAAACTAAAGCTATTGTCCTGAATCTTTGTGTCGGTTACATCAAATATAGAACTGTCAGGCTATCAAATACTCATTCGCTTACACCGTTTCTCTCATTAATTAGTCATATAAAGTGAACCTAAAAATAAACTACCCTTAGAAGCTTTGGGACACTGGATAGCTATTTTATCTTAGCGTGGGACGCCTCAGAAGTGCACCGTCATGACCCCGCCAAGGACTGAAGACAAAGACCTTCAGGTTCTGCAGCCAGCATGTTATCCTCCACCCATAGGGTAGGAATCAAGTGGTCCAAACTTCCTACTGTCAGTAAACGACACAGGCCGATCTTCATTCAATGCCGTCGTTGAGTGACTATCTTCCTGCCCTACTTGGCTGACCCTTCCGGTCACGACTTCTCTTTGGAACTTCTGGAATTACCTTGAGAAGTGAGTCATCAATGAGCGCTGGAGTATTTCAATTTTTGAAGTTTTGTAGGGATTTATTTACTGATTTCAGGTTGGCATTCATCACACTGATTGAAGAACCGACTACACCTTACTTACGGGTCATGAATAGAACCGAACACACGTTACATATATATTTCTTGGAAGCATTTATAATAAACTGGCCTTCCTTAATATTTTTATCTTTCCTTATCCCTACGATTAGTTCATAATGAACACTTTAGTTTCAAGTCATTGATTATTACATGAAAATAGTGATAGTGAACTTCATATAACGAAACAGTTCCTTCAAGAGTGTAAATTAGAAAACACATTAAAAAAGAAAGTGTTTATTGAACAGTATAAAAAATTATAGTTGAAGTTACTTTGGATAATTTCGTATCTACCAATTTTCTATTCTAAAGAACAAAAAAGAAATGGTCTATTTTCTGCTTTTATAATTGTTTTGATTGATTTGCAAAATCAGAAATTATTGATGGAAGTAACGAATAATGTTTAGAAAGCTTACCTGAAAATGTTATTAACTGAAAAGAAAAGATTCGTGAACTATTTAAGTAAAGTGTAAACATACACAAACAGATATATTCTGTGTCACACACCTTTTGCGTTGCAAATTACCTGGATTCAGCACACATTTTGAACTTATTAACTAAACACTGAAACATGCTAGATACTATGTAGTTGATAGGCTATTAGTATGTGGAAGAGGATTACGCCTATAACCTCATATTCTAGACTCGATAGTCAAAATATATGTCTTATTAGTAAGAACTATCCTTAGTTTACCAGTGAAGTGGATCCTAGCCGTAATGTAAGGGTTCATTCTATTCAGAAGATATCATTTTCCATCGACGATATAACAGTTTCCGGCAATACAGATATTTTAAAGGGTAAAATCACAGTCTTGTTTTCTATAAGGTGCGTCGTTCAAGTCGACGTTGTTTATATTGTAACGTTTGCATTACAAATGAAGGTAGCTGGAAATCATACAGAAAGGCCTATTAAAAGTATCTGAATTGTCTTTACTTGATCATAAACTAGGAACGTTTTCGGTGAATAAAAGCTGACTGTCTTTTTCCTGATATATGGCCGGTTCATACAGCGGAAGAAAACGACTGATCACCCTAGATAATATCACCCCAATTGACACTTTGAATAGTATATCTCAATACAATGCATAGATTGTAGGACTCGTGAACAATTAACAGTGAAAAGCATCTTAAAAAAATGAAAAATAATAAGACAGAATTGTAAGTGATTCCTTTTTATTCCAAAAATATAACATCGTCAGTTTCAAGACCGTCATTCTTTGTTCTTCTTGAATTTTATAAAACTTGCACTGTGTACGTTTAATAGGCCGATCTTGACAAATCTACAATAAGAAATTTAGTTCATGGGTATCCAGGCAGTAGAACAATAGTGCTGGGGCAGTTATTCAGCTCGTCTTGAAGTTTGTAAGCGTGATGATTTACTCAGGAAATAAAAGACATATTTGTGACGAGCGTTCATTCCACTTTATAAATGGAAGGCGCATAATCTAATGGCGCATACTTCAATTATATACTAGATAGGACAAATTTATCAGAAGTATAAACACTGAACACATTTTGAAGTGATCCTCAAAGCCATTCTGGTTAACGCAACCAACTGGGTTTCTTTATTTATGGTTGTAAAAGTAGTTCTTCCATAAAACATAGAAACTTTACTGTTTGTTTCAGCAGTTTTTAGGGTGACCTTTCTAGAGACTCCTGATTTTTCACAGACTAAAAAGCTCAGAAGATTTTCTCATGGCACCTGTTAAAATCTCAGCGACATCAAATAAGTGTTTCGCTGAAAAGAGTGTTAAGTTCTTCTATCAGTAGACAGCTTTTAGGTTTTATCATATACGAGCTGCTGATAAAAAAACATCAGATAACCAGGAAAACATCTGATGGTGCCCTCACAGAGTAACTATGACTCTTCTTAAGGAGGTAAGGCTTGTAAAACTGGAATATCTCGTTGGTTATCTAGTCTTGGAAGTTGTGAAAATATCTACAACTGTGTAGTTAAAACCAGAAATGAAGCAACTTGCCAGTG